AGTAGGAATTCTTTCATATCATTTTATATTTAAAATATATTCATAATCTAAAATCCAAATAAATGTTTATCTTATCGTATCACTTTGCGTTGCAAATGTATAACATTTGTGAACGTTTTCATATGAAATGACCGAAACAATGTTCAATGGAAGTTAAATGAGCAGACCTTAAACCTGTCACTGGGCCGAGATATCATGGGCCGGGGTTGTCACCCTGCACCAGCTGGACTGGTCCCCGGACCCCAGCCGATTTTCCCAATATCTCCAGAAAGGGTAATTTCCCCAAAACCTAAATTAATCCCTGCAAATATAACATTATAATCAGGCAACAAAACAACACAACACATTCACTTAATCAGTCTTTTTATTTTTAATTCAGACAGGCCCCTGGATCATGATTCAAGACACCTCTTTGGTTTAAGTCAAAATCTTTCAATGTTGTGGAGGCCAAAGAGATTAAAATTAAATTATGTTTTCGTATAAATCCACACAAGTGTTATTTGCAAGTTTTTAGATTAATATATTACATAGTTATTACTTAATAAACATTCTACAAGCTGATGAAAATTATACTTAAGTCTACATCTATTTCATGATCCTGGGGCTAGAAGACTAAAGCATGTTACTTCAAATATAGTGGATTCCATAATATGTACTGCCTGCATTACTACATTGCTCATTTCATGCTTCTCTTTTTCCTTGCTTTTACTTTTTTCCCTCAACCTAGACATCTCGATTATTATTAATCAATAAAAATATTAATCTTGTATTCTAAATTGTTTTGCCGTATCCTAGACATCGTCCTATATATCTAGACTGCGAGTTTCCATCATGTCCATTGTGCATCGTATTTTCTTAAGCTTTCTGAATAAAGATGGGTATCTGCACAAACATGACGTTATATGGATAGTTTCGTGTATAAAACCATCACACGTCAGACTTAATCGGCGATACTGATTGCAGAATAATTGTTGAATTCATAATAAATTTGCAAAATTGAAAAAGCTTCAGTTTAATCAACTCAAATACCGTACGCCAATGAACACATCGCAACTCATTGAATCGCTTCGATGTTTCATGCATGTTTAAAATATTACCTCTACTAATGAACGAAAACAAACCAGGAATCTTAATTAGAGTAAAATCTGGATATGTCTTTGATAACTGTCTTTCGCCCAACGCAACGTGGCTATCAAACAAAGAGCCTCGTTCTGATTTCGTATGTTGTAATATTCGGAATATCGAGCCCGATCGGAAAAAATCAAAAAAATAATAAAAAAAAAAAGAGCGTCCTAGGTCTCATATAAATAATTTAAATAAATTAGAATTTAAACTTTCCAAGGATGCTTCCACATAAGTTTAAGATTTTTTGGCTCATTGGCTTTTGAGAAAAAGATTGTTAAAGAATTGTTTCTACATATTTCCATGAAAAACTTGGATTCCCTGTTGTGGCCCTGCCCTACCCCCGGGGGTCATAATTTGAACAATTTAGAATCTACACTACCAAAGGATGCTTCCACATAAGTTTCAGCTTTTCTGCCCCAGTGGTTCTTTAGAAGAAGATTTTTAAAGATTTTCCCTATATGTTTCAATGTAAAACTTTGTGGCCCCACCCTACCCCCGGGGGTCATGATTTTTACAATTTAGAATCTACACTACCCCAGAATGCTTCCACATAAGTTTCAGCATTTCTGGCCCGGTGGTTCTTGAGAAGAAGATTTTTAAAGATTTTTCTCATATATTTCTATGTAAAACTTTGATTCCCCATTGTGGCCCCACCCTATCCCCGGGGGTCATGATTTTAACAATTTAGAATCTACACTACCCCAGGATGCTTCCACGTAAGTTTCAGCTTTTCTGGCCCAGTGGTTCTTGAGAAGAAGATTTTTTAATGATCCCACCCTATTTTTGTCGTTTCTTGATTATCTCCCCTTGTGAAGGGACTTGGCCCTTCATTTTTACAATTTTAATTCCCCTTCACCAAAGGATGCTTTGTACCAAGTTTGATCAAAATTGGCTCAGTGGTTCTTGAGAAGAAGTCGAAAATGTGAAAAGTTTACAGACGGACAGACGGACAGACAGACGGACAGACGGACAGACAGACGGACGGACGACGGACAAAATGTGATCAGAAAAGCTCACTTGAGCCTTCGGCTCAGGTGAGCTAAAAATAGACTAAATTTATGGACCAGACACGAATTATGAACTTTTTCTGTCAGTGACCTTGAACTTGCATAAATGACCTTGTTTCAAAGTCATGACACAACCTCAGGTCATAAGCAATGGTTTGTGTGAAGTAGTAGATTCAAGTTTTTCCATAATAAAGAAAGATTTGAGAACTTACCAAGTTTATCCATAAGAAAGATATAGACCAGACACGAATTATGAAATTTTTCTTCCAGTGACCTTGAACTTCCCCAAATGACCTTGACCCAAGGTCATAACACATCCTTAGGTCAGGAGGAATCCTTGTGTGAAATGAGAACCTACCAAGTTTATCCATAAGAAAGATATGGACCGGACAAAAATTATGAAATTTTTCTTCCAGTGACAAGTCATGACACACCCTTAGGTCAGGAGGAATCTTTGTGTGAAATTAAAACCTACCAAGTTTATCCATAAGAAAGATATGAACCGGACAAAAATTATTAAATTTTTCTTCCAGTGACCTTGAACTTTCCCAAATGACCTTGAGTCAAGATCATGACACACCCTTAGGTTATGAGCAATCTTTGTGTGAAATTACAACCTACCAAGTTTATCCATAAGAAAGATATGGACCGGACACGAATTATGAAATTATGAAATTTTTCTTCCAGTGACCTTGAACTTCCCCAAATGACCTTGGTTCAATGTCATGACATACCCTTAGTTCAGCAGGAATCTTTGTGTGAAATTAGAACCTAACAAGTTTATCCATAAGAAAGATATGGACTGGACAAAAAATATGAAATTTTTCTTCCAGTGACCTTGAACTTCCCAAAATGACCTTGGGTCAAGGTCAGGACACACACTTAGGTTATAAGCAATCTTTTTTGTGAAATTAGAACCTACCAAGTTTATCCATAAGAAAGATATGGACCGGACACAAATTATGAAATTTTTCTTCCAGTGACCTTGAACTTCCCCAAATGACCTTGGGTCAAGGTCATGACACACCCTTAGGTCATGTGCAATCTTTGTTTGAAATTAAAACCTACCAAGTTTATCCATAAGAAAGATATTGACCGGACACGAATTACGAAATTTTTCTTCCAGTGACCTTGAATTGCCACAAATGACCTTGGGTCAAGGTCATGACACACCGTTAGGTCATGGGCAATCTTTGTGTGGAGTAGTAGATTCTAATGTTCCTCCTTAAGAAAGATAAGAACCGGACACATTTGCACAGACAGCTAGACAGATGGACGGACGGACAAGGTGATTCCTACATACCCCCCCAAACTTCGTTTGCGGGGGGTATAATGAATGGTTTACCAAAAAAAATTCCCAAGCAAAGAGACTTGTAATATTATGACACATGTAAATAGGTCAGCTATACTCTTTATGTTTACATAATAATAAGGAGACACTTGTCTAACAAAATTATTGTAAAGCACACCCCTGCTATAAAAATGTACTATTAATAAATCACATTTTAAAATTAATTTTTTTGCCTTCAAATTAAAGCTTAAATTGGACACAAAATGCCCAAAATTTTTATTTTAATTTAATTCAACTTATTTTCACATCCAAAAAGACTTCCTGCAAGATTCAAAGAAATCTGAGAAGCTTAAAATGTTGATGATTTTTATTCCTTAACTTTAAATCTTTAATGTCATCTGAATTATTCATCCAGATTTGCTTTTTATTTTAAAAACTTTAGAGTTTGGTGAAGTTTTGATACTTCAAAGCTATATTTTGCCCTATAGTCCAAAAATACATGCTGATTATATTTACTTTTCTTTATTTTTGGCCTACACATTCAAGAATCAAGATGTTGTTTTATGGTATTTATCTTTGAATTTGACCTTCATTTTCATGTTATCAGTTGCCATGTTAATTTGAAAAAAAAGAGTTAATTTTACCTGATATTTTTTTCCCTTAAAATCAAACTGGTGATTATAGAATGAAAGTTTAAAAATTTGCATCAAATATGGAGATAAGAAACAGTATTCAAACTCACAAGTCCATATAAACAAATCAGGAGCAGAGCAACATGGACCTCTGAAACATTGAAGGTGGGATCAGGGGCTATGGCGTAGGGAGTATCTCCTACCGACAATTCACCCCCCCCCCCCTTCCCCCTAATATGCTTCACTTCATTTTTTAACAAGTATGTCTTATCAAGCATTACAGACTACATGTATTAAAGGTTAATAAGTATATTTCATTGTGATAGGAGATAACATGTTCATTTTATATGCAAATAATTTTCACCTTGTCTAACATGCTGCCAGACCCTTATCAGTGAAAAGCTTTAGATAGTTCTCTAGACTATATTGCAAAGCAATTGGTTTTTCAAGACTAAAAATTTCACATTTTTGAGTGTGTCTGTGGGATAACCTTGAAAGACCTTGTTCACACTATCTTAGGAAAAGATTTACATGTTGAACACATCCATTGGCCCTAAGAGTTTTTGGCAAGAATAAAGTTTTCATTAATTTCTCTGTCAAGAAAAATACTGTGTGTTAAAAACTGTCAATATTAAAATTATCAAACCATTTCTCTAGCATTGTTATTTGTTCACAACTTGGACAACAAATTGGGTCCCTTCCCCATTTTCAGAAACAATTGCCTTTGAAAACACAATCTTTTTTTTAATTTTTTGCTTCAACTTTGTCATAACTTCATGTTTCAAGTGAAATATTGTAGTAAGACTGCTGCAAGTAGTATCATCATGTATGAATGTTTTAATTTCCAAAGACTTTGTAGCAAACAATGTCTAAACAATATCCTCTTCTACTTGTTAGGCAACAAGGTTTTTCTAGAACATTGCCCTAAATTTTAATTTTTTACAGACAGACAGACTAGTCACTATGTGGCCTTCAGTGCCTACATTGACAACTTGGGTGGAAATAATCATGTCGGGAACAAGCTCCTATACAACAATGTACTCGGAAACTATGGAAACGGCTATAACAGCAGCAGTGGAATTTTCACGGCACCGTCCGATGGGATCTATGCATTTCTCTGGGTCACCGCAGTTCGTCATGACAACTGGTGCAGTACCAGGATGTTAAAAAACGGCTTTATCCTGAGTATGACCTCCTCTAGTGCCAAGGCCACTGGTTCCAACTCTATCGAGAGTGGTTCAGGAACCGGATTTCTCATAACCTACATGAACCAAGGTGACACGGCTTTTGTGGAAATGAACAATCCCCACGGGGAAACATGCAATATTGTCAGCAATGCCAGGGCATTAACCACCTTCTCTGGGTGGCAGATTACTAGAATCTGATTTCTTAAGCCATCACACATGTAATTTAATTAAATAAATTACTTGTGTATTGAGATATAAAAGGGTAAGTTCCTTGTGTCAGTATGTCAGAAAAGTGACACATACCTCTCTTTCTTATAGTAAATATAATCTAATTACCCCATCCTTTTAACATCTTGAATATATCTATTGATAAATAGAGAAGTTGAAGCTTTCAGGTTTTTACAACAGAAAACAAACTAAGACTTAATTATTATGTTGCCCCGAACGATGTCGGGACGACATATTGCGATTGTACGCATGTTTCTGTTATACGGGCTGTTTCTTGAAGATGGATGGGACAATCTTCCTGAAACTTTCCTCAAAGGTTTGTAGTTGTGTTGTGTGGTCACTAAGTTTCAAAATGCTACCGTTGCCATGGAAACCTGCAAAAAGCCACGAATTTTGTCCACGAGTGTTCTCTCTGGTCCCTTGGACATTCGTCATGAAACTTTATTGATTTAATGATTAGTATCTGTAATTGTGTGTGTTGCATTTAAAAATTGCAAATTGTCAATAGTTTCCATGGAATAAGTGGAAAAGTGAAAATTCTTTAACTTTGATTTTTAAATCAAAGTACTGATAGTACTGATACGAATTGATGGTTGTCCAAGCTTAGCTGATGGGAATTGTTTTAGTGATACAAAAAATGAAAGTCTTGTCCAGATCGGGGCGACATAAGCTATTGCTTACACTAGCAGAATTTCTAGTTTAAAATTCTAATCATCTGTAAGAAGTTATTACTAGCTGACTTTGAACTCAATGCAGACAACTATGGTTAAATAATGCAATGTTGAATAGCATTTTTTTCACAAAAATTTAATTTTTTATAGAATTTTCAATTATACTCTAATTCCTACATATTTTATTCCATGTTATGTATCACACAATTTCAAAACAAAAAACAGGATAAGCCTCAATTCCAATAAAATCATGCATCCCTAATATTGAAAGGGTCAGCTTCAAATATCATATCTGTATGTGATAATTATATTGACCTTTTACTAAAGTGAACAAGCTTCATGTTGACTACAACAATAATTGACCCCCCACCCCCTTAAATACTACTCAAGAACAAACTGTTATACAATAAATACAGAAAAGTATTGTATGAGGGAGCTAAGTTCAAGACTTTATTGAACCCCTTAAAGTACAACTTTTTAATGATTTGTGGCAGTGTGTGTGTACTTTGGGGGAGGGGGGGGGCTACATGTAATAGCTTAAATTACTAAGTACATTGTAGTACAGGGCACAAAAGAGATAATTATATTAGGGAATCCCAATTTAAATCTAAATGCCTGTAAGGTTTCCAGATTTTAAAACAATTTTCTTTTTAATTTTGAAACATCTCTTTCAAAACTATGCAGGAAAGATAGGGGTTCAGCATTTTACATCTGTAGTATCAACAATGTTGGAAACTTCCTCTTGCCAATTAAAATAGACAGAATCCAATATATATCCAAGCCAAAAAATCTTGAGCATCCCCTTTCTACATCCAATACCTTTTTAAAAAGGTTCAAAAATTAATGGCCAAAATATATACACGTAGATCATGAAACCCCTTTTGAATTCATAAGGGGTGACGACAAAGGGGCGGAAGGGACAGGCGTCGCCGCCCCAATAATTTTGCCAAAAATAATGAATTTAAGAAATATGAATTTAAAATGAAAAAAAAAAAAAAAGAATTATAAGCTTTATTTTGTAATGACAATATTAGCTTTCAATGGAGCGACAATAATACGAAAACTCTGTGGTCAAGGGAGCAGCAGCAAAGTGTGAAATTTATTGGTTGTACAAAGACGCAAATTGGGATATACCTACCTGTACCTGGCATGTGTAAACAATAAACAGGGTATCCATCGTTCCACGTGCAAATTTGTTACAAATTCTTTTTCAGACCCACAGCTCTACATGTAGCAACGTCTTTTTTTGAAAATTATGTGCTTTGGGGGCAGTATGGAAGTTCTCAACTTTATTAAAAAATTCTTTTAAAGTGCTGGAGTTTGTCTGAGTTTGACCTAACAGCAACAAAAAGTGTGTATGAAAGGGGGTGCAAGCAGCGCCTGATTTTCACATCTCAACACTTAAGAAAAAAAAGACTTTTCTCAGAAAAAGTGAAGAAAGTGGAAAAAAATTGGAGTCGCTCCCTCCCTTTTCCCACATGTAACAGGCCTGTTCATTGTCTATCAATCGGTCGATCGATGTTAGGAAATCTTTAATGAATCAAATTGTAAGCTAATGAATTAAAGAAAAATACTAAAAGACTGGGTAAAACTAAAAGTACTATTTACAACAACTTTCTACATAGTTACCTTGGCTCCATCATAGAAAAAACAATCCATTATGCAGACTGCACAGTTAAATGGCATCACACTAATGAAAAGAAAATTACAAAATGAGTTGAAATATTGGTCATATATTGGTACAGAGAAATAATATTTGGTTATCCATCAACTTTAACTATATTTAAGAGGGTAAACATATTAAAAACATTTATTGATGACAAAATACTGTATAAGTGAAATTTTCTGAGAGATTAAAAATCACCATGTTTTTTAATCTGTACTAAATTTCAGGGAGTAGTTTTAGCAATTTTAAGATGTCTAGAACATGTGGAAGATATTGGTAACCTCCAATTTAGAATAAATTGTTAGCAATATTCAATATAAGCCATCTCAACATCCTCAATAAATGCCGAAATTAAATACACTGTATTTGCTAATATTTTGAATATGAGTGCATATGATTATAAATTGCACTCCTTAAAGCAATGAGCTGCAACTTTGATGTCGGAATTTTTTGTTGCAAAATTGTAAATAACTACATGTATTTCAATGACAGAAAAAAAATAATGTTAATAAACTTTTGTTGTTCATATTTGCAATGGAAGAACTATTTATAAGCTTTGATTGAATAAAAATTACATTACTGTTGTCCTGTACAATAAAGATTTCTTAATATATAAAAGTGTATATTGGATTGTATATAGAAGTCTTTCTTATGCTTTATTTTATTGCAGCTCATATTGCTTTAAATTGGGTATGTGCAGTTAATGCTTATAAGTCTTTGACCTTGACCATTGGCCTTTGACCCAAAAAATAATGAGAAAGGCTTTTTTCATTGCCAAATTTGCATCTCTGTGAGCAAGGTTATGAGTAAAATCAGATATGGTACTTTTCAATTAATTTGTGTGTTCACCATTTTTCTAAACTGTTAATGCTTCTGGCCATGACCTTTGACCTACTGAATATTGATTAAATAAACACTTTCCCTTAAGCCATCAGGCATCTTAGTAAATGAGGAATGAGTGTGAAACTGACAGTTTGATTAATGATTATAAAACACAACTGGACAAAGGTACTTTCCAAATCCAATCCACACCTTTTTATCAACCTATCACTATTTTTGACCTTGTTAATGATAGGTGAAATGGTTCTTTCAATTCAGTCTGGAAAATTTTATCTTGTTCAGACCTATCCCATTATTTAAACCTGGGATTTGACCTTTGATTTTGAATCTGTAGCCTTATCCCTCTGCCCACCTAGCATCTCAGAAGCAAGTATACATGTACCAGATTCAAAGGTCAATTGATATTCTATATTTTTCAAAACAAATTTAACTGCTCTGAGCCTCTGACTATGACCTTTTAATCCTGAAATCAATAAAGTTAATCCTGTGATCACCGTTCATCTGTAGTTTTCTAAGCAATATGAGACTTCAAGGCCAAAATTATTATATATTTTTTGTTTCCACATGATATGGCTGCATGACCATGCAAATATATATATGGTGACTGTGCTTTTTTTGCATGTGTGTGGTGTTTGAAGGAATGAAAAGATTGCTCTGATGGTAATAAGTCAAAATCGAAAAGTCAGAATTTTGTCATTATGACAGAACATTAATACATAATACACTGTACCTGAGGAATATTGTGAGGAACCATGACAAGGAGATCATACTGAGGAGACCCAGGACCTCTAACTTCTGATGCAGGGCTGGGAGGTTCTCATTAATCAGGTCCTCAAAAACATCTACAAAGAGAGACATTCAATAATCAGGTAAAAAACATCTACAAATACAGACAATCAATAATCAGGTCCTCAAAAACATCTACCAATAGAGACAATCAACAATCATGTCCTCAAAAACATCTACCAATAGAGACAATCAATAATCAGGTCAAAAACATCTACAAATAGAGACAATCAATAATCAGGTCAAAAACATCTACAAATAGAGACAATCAATAATCAGGTCAAAAACATCTACAAATAGAGACAATCAATAATCAGGTCAAAACATCTACAAATAGAGACAATCAATAATCAGGTCAAAAACATCTACAAATAGAGACAATCAATAATGAGTTCCTCAAAACATATACAAATAGAGACAATCATTATTCAGGTCCTCAAAAACATCTACAAATGGAGACAATCAATAATCAGGTCCTCAAAAACATCTACAAATAGAGACAATCAATAATCAGGTCCTCAAAAACATCTATAAAAGAGACAACTAATAACAAGAGGCCCAAGGGCCACATCCACACCTGAGCACATCTACTAGGAAAAAGCACATATTAGATCAAAACTGAAAGTTTACTGGGGGGGGCTTGAATTTTAACCCTCCTGGGTGTCATGATTTGAACAATGTACAATCTACACTACCTGAGGATGATTCCATATAAATAGAAAAATATCACTAATCATGACTTTGAAGTACTTGAAAAGAAGATTTTAAAAGGTTTCCCTCTATATCCTTATGTACAACTTTGGTCAGCCATTTTGGGCCCAAAACTAGCCCCAGAGGTCATGATTTGAACAAGCTTGAATCTTCATGATGATTCCACATAAGTTTCGTCTTTCCTGGCCCAAAGGTTCTTGAGAAGAAGATTTTTAAAGTTTTTCCTATGTATTCCTATGTAAAACTTTGGTCAGCCATTTTGGCTCCATCCTAGCCCCGGGGATCATGATTTATACAAATTTGAATCTACAATACCTGAGGATGATTCCACATGAGTTTCATCTTTCCTGGCATAGTGGTTCTTGAGAAGAAGATTTTTAAACATTTTTTCTATATATTCCTATGTAAAACTTTGGTCAGCCATTTTGGCCCCACCATAGCCCCAGGGGTCATGATTTGAACAAACTTGAATCTACACTACCTGAGGATAATTTCATTTAAGTTTCATATTTCCTTTCTCAATGATTCTTAAGAAGAAGATTTTTAAAAGATTTTTCCTATATATTCCCATGTAAAACTTTGGTTGGCCATTTTGGCCCCACCCTAGCCCCGGGGGTCATGATTTGAACAAACTTGAATCCACACTACCTGAGGATGATTCCACATGAGTTTCATCTTTCCTGGCCCAGTGGTTCTTAAGAAGAAGAAGAAGATTTTAAAAGATTTGTTCTATGCATTTCTATGTAACTTTGGTCGGCCATTTTGGCCCCACCCTAGCCCCGGGGGTCATGATTTGAACAAACTTGAATCTACACTACCTGAGGATGATTCCACATGAGTTTCATCTTTCCTGGCCCAGTGGTTCTTAAGAAGAAGATTTTTAAAGATTTTTCCTATATATTCCTATGTAAAACTTTGGTCGGCCATTTTGGCCCCACCCTAGCCCCGGGGGTCATGATTTGAACAAATTTGAATCTACAATACCTGAGGATGATTTCACATGAGTTTCATCTTTCCTGGCCCAGTGGTTCTTAAGAAGAAGATTTATAAAGATTTTTCCTATATACATGTGTATTCCTATTTAAAACTAAAGTCGGCCATTTTGGCCCCACCCTTACCCCAGGGGTCATGATTTGAACAAACTTGAATCTACACTACCTGAGGATGATTCCACATGAGTTTCATCTTTCCTGGCCCAGTGGTTCTTGAGAAGAAGATTTTTTTAAAATGCTATTGCCTTTCGGCTCAGGTGAGCTAAAAAGGAGGTTTTAAAGGAATTTCACAGAAATTTCTATTTTTAGCAACCATGGCAACACAGTTCATCGAAATCAAACTGATGCACTAAATTATGTATCTTGGTGTAGTCTACTTCTGTGTCAAGTTATATTGAAATCAGAATAAAACTGTAAGAGGAGTAGCGTTTTGAAAAATTGTTTACAGACAGATGGACAGCTAGACAGAAGGACAGAAGACGGACACCTTACTATTGCATAAACTCTTCTGGTCTCTGATCAGTAGAGCAAAAATCACTGCAGGTTTGTATAATATTCAAATTTAAACCTATGGTAAAAATTTTTTTCCATTATTTACCGTATAAGTAGAAATTTTTGCTAGGATTTAATTTTGGCATTATTAGCGAGGCTGTTGAGATCGCTAAAATTGAATATCGCTTAAAATGAATTGTGTGTTATTTGTACTAGCTTCTTTAGTGAACATTTTAAAATCGCTAAAATTACTTCGCTAAAAATAAAATTATACCAGTTTTTAAGGAGAAATCGCTTAATTTGCGTCTCGCTAAACCACTTATACGGTATTTACCTTATTTTGTCACTCCACATATTTTTTTTGAGTGATATTATTTTGAATCAAACACTGGTTACTTCAAGACAATATTTTTCTGTACGTCTCGTAAGAAAACACATAAGTGCATGCATAACCATGATAATCAACTATTAAACTTAAAAGTTGAATGTAACCCGTACGAAATTTAAGTCACGTATTTTTAAAAAAATCCAGGCGTATTTTAATCTAAAAATACTTGTGGAAATCTCTATTGAAATGAATATATAAAACCAGGCGTATAATGTAAAATACAGGCGTACACGAGGCGTAATCCTCCCGTATTTTTGGCCGAAATATGCAAATGAGTACGCCTGGAAAATCAAAATACGTCTGGAAATTTTAAAAATAGAATTACGCCTAGATTTCAAGCATACCCTTAAAAATACGCCTGCAAAATAAATACGCCCGTATAAAAGAATACGCCCGTACAAAAAAATACGCCTGTACAAAAAATACGCCTGCTTTAAATAGATTTGAATTAAATATTAATTATATTACAGCAATGGGAGCTACAACTATAGCATGAATATAAATGTACAATCAACTTTAGTACAAAGATTTTTGACTACATATGCTAAAAAAGATTAGACAAATTAAGCTAAGCATACATCACTTTTATTTTCTTAATATTTTTCAGTGTGATAATTAAAATGTGAATGAGATTCATTAGTAAAATGATTGTCATTAAAATTTAAAAAATCATAATCTTACATTTAATTTTTCAAAGCACAGTTACATGTTAGAATATATTAACCGTTTCACAGCATTTTAACATCCAAGGCTGAGTTTTATAGTAAACAGTTGAAACATTCCAATAATCACAGTGAATCACAGTTTTGAGAATCATGCCGAGTACTCCTGCCATTCTTTTTACTCCTAAATTGGCATAAAAGATGCAAATCACGAGCAATTCTGTCATTCACATTTCACATCACATTTCCCAATCACATTTTCATACATTGAAATATTCACAAAAAGAAGTCTGAATGCTTTATAACTGGCATTGCAAACGGTCATCTTCTTCCTGATGCAATCTTCCAATGGCTACAGTTCACTGGCATTATTGCATTATGGAAAGCTTTAAAGAATGCTGCTGGTCAACTCTTAATATTGCAAGATCTTTTCTCCTCCTCTTATGACCATTTCATCATTCAATCAATTTTCCAACTGTGATAAGGATTTAGATGTAAATCATTTTCTGGAAAAAGAATAATTTATGTAATTCAAAATACTACTGACCCAATTTTCAATCATTAATATCTGGCTCTGCAAATCAAAAGCAAATGCAGCTGTCTTTTATTTTCATAGATAAAAAGTTTCAATGTTAAGCTATGTTTTCAAAATATTTACCTCTTCTACACCATCTGTGCTTTGTTGTGGCTTTCTCTAATCTCATTGTTCTTGGCATGACCTGCCTTAATGTGGTTTAAAATTGGCGCAAATACTTGGATGCAGATGCTGTTATTTACAACCCCCTAGTTAGCTAAACTCTTTTATGATTTCTGGAAGTTCTACTCAGTACAATTTGTAATTTTGAAGAAAAATGCTGTTTTGTTTACAGCTAGAACATAAAAATAAAATTCCATCAATGTATAAACAAGGTGTATTCATTATATGAATTAAAAAGATACTAGGGTGGGAAATAGAACTGCTGTACACAAACCGGATATAAATTGATAAGCCGTTCTTAGGTTTACAACATCACAGATAAGTCGTTCCTAAACATGCTCAACACATCTGTAAGTAATTAGCACAATCCCAGCAGGTTAGGCTAGGGTAGTGAAAGTTGATGGTAATGTAACAGAGTATCTAAATATACCAAATATAAATCATTTTATAAGAAAAACATTTAATTGTAATAACATGTATGTTTATAGCCTGACTAAACAATTAATCATGAAGTTCAAAGAATATACTATCTACTTTACAGTTATAGAAATCATTTGTGTTAAGAAAAATAATATCAATTTTTAAAAAAAAAATGGGAATGACAAAATTTTAGGTCCATGGGATAATGTTATAAAAAAAAAAGTTCTAAAAGAAAAATTCAGTTTAATTTATGAAAAATAATTGCTTTGATATTTAATACAACAAACTAAATGCAATATTGTAATGTATACAATCATGCAATACTTTGTTGTTGTTTTTTTTTGTTTAAGTTATATAATATAACAAAAATGTTTCTTATGCAACTCAATACTTTTAAAAAAAGAGAATGAGTTGACTAAGTTTTTTTGGCTAAGTTGAAAAATCCACCCAAATTTTTAAAAATACGCCTTTTGAAATTTTCTAAGTTTTAATTTCCTTGTGCCAAAGAGACTAAGTAGAAAATACGCCCGGATTTAGAATTTACGCCTGGAAAAAAGGAGACGTATTTCTGGCAAAAATACGTGTACGCCTGAAAATGAACCGTATTTTTAAGAATACGTCTCTTGTACGCCAGGATTTGCAAAAAATCCAAGCGTAATACGTCTCTGAATTTCGTACGGGATTTCTTGTATTTTGTCTTTGCTCAAATTAAAAAAAATAATTCTGATACCTTTTTGCAGTTTTTCAATAAAAAGAAAGAATAAAAATCAAAAAGAGCATCAAAAAAAATTCTTACGCTGGTCGATCAATGCCCCGACCACTTTGGTGTTGTAATAGTCGGGTAAAAGTCGCTCACAAATGGACGTCAACAACCAGAAAGCCTCCTCCTCACTAACATACAGCAGTAGTACACTGGTCACAATATTCATGGCCTGGCAGTAACCTAAAAGACAAATATCATTCTCATTGTCTAAAAGAAATTTAAGAGTAAAAAGTTACTAACAATTTACCTGCTACATGTAAATGTTTCAGCTGTAATTAATTTAGAAAATGGTTGAGATTGTTGCAATATTCAAGATTTTGTAACATGAAACCTCAAGATAATGACATTTGGAAATGCATCTCAAGATCTTATAAAGAGCATTTAACCCCATATGCCTGACCCAGGAAACATGAATTTTAGAGTTTTGGAAAATTGGTTATGCACTGATAATCTTTGAATCAGTTTGCTTGCTAGATTTTCAGTCTGCAATGACATTTTATGGTATGAACTAAAGGTCTCAGGGCTATAAATTTCTCAGCTTTGGTATAAGGCATGAAATGTGCATTGAACAATGTTTTTAAGCTCCTTTCACTAAATGAGTCTCTGAGCCAAAATTTGATTGACGTTGGCTAAGTAAAATTCTAATGCAGAGAGATGGACTGATGGATGACAAACTTAGATAAGGAAAGCTCAATTAATCATTCAGCTCAGGTAAGCAATGCACAAATGGATCTCATACTTCACATAAATTTACATCTGAGGCTGGATTTTTAAAACCTTAAAGGCTTCCTGGAAATTTGCTGGAACTACCGTATATACTTGCCTATAAGTCGTCTTTTTTTTTTTCTTGGAGTTAAATTTTGGTCCAAAACTGTATATCCGATTTAAAGGCGAGTCATAAAAAGATCAGTATGTTTTCTGACAACGAAATATAATATTTTGTAAACATTTCCGACGATATTCACTGAACAAAGTCCTGTTATTTTTTAAAATTATTTATGCACTCCAAAATTATACATGTACCATAAATACAAGAATTTACTTATTCTACAAATTTTATTTTTGTCTCAACTCTACATAACGTATTTGTTTAATGATAAAAAATTAAATATCAGTGCCATTTCTAAAAATCCTAATTAAAACCAGGTTAAAAATTCGAAACATTGACTTGAATTGGTCATCTGATTCTGGCAAAAAGTTGTACCGACTTATAAGTGGGTCATTGACAAATTCTACCAAAATAAGCTAAAAAAAATACGACCAACTTATAGACAGACCGACTTATAGGCGAGTATATACAGTACACAGAAAATTGAGAAAATAAATCTGATGCAGTTTCAGACCTTTCAAATTTTACGTGTAATAAGTAGATGCCTTGACATTTATCATCGTTAGAAATCAGTAAGAAATGAATAATGTATTACAAAGGTTACCTAACACTTAGCTTTACCTATAGTAGGATTTCTCCAGGCATAAGCAGTTAACACTCGCCTCAGAGCACTAATCCCCAGATCAGACTGGAAGGCAGGATGTTCAGGCAGTGACCTACAATAAGCCAACTTAACCATTAAACTTCATAGGGATATTCATACACTTGGATTTCTAAATGCATTATCATATTGTTGAAATCTTAAAAGGTACCGGTAATTATTTTATTTGAGAATTAATTCAAGTAGCCATATAATTTCTATAGACAACAGTGTATTATTTAAAATTGGAATTATTTTGATTATTGGAATTTGGGGTTTTCAAGAAAAAATCCCTTAGTTAGACTAACTTAGACATCTAACAAGAATTTCCATTGTATTTTGTGTTAGTATTTGACTAACTTAGACAACTAACAAGAATGTCCATTGCAAATTGTCTTAGTTTGACTAACTTAGTCAACTAACAAGAATTTCCATTGCAAATTGTCTTAGTATTTGACTAACTTAGTCAACTAACATGGACATTTCTATTAAAATTTAGTTTAGTTAATAATTTTAGAATTTCAGTTTTTTTTCTATTTATTTTATAATTATTTTGTTTTAAATCATTTTATCTGTTTCTGGAATGTTGTTTGTGCTGGTGTTCTCTTTTTTTTTCTTTTGCATGCATTTTATTTTTTGGACTTTGCCTAAAGTCAAGGCTTAGTCAGTTTTTTGTCAGTCTCAGCAGGGTTAGTTAGCGCACGCGTAAATGGGGTTAGTCATGCCAGGCACAACTAACCCCCCTACTGCGCATGCCTGGCTACTTTCTAATCGTAGATTTTGATTAAAAGCGTTCAAATTAACATCCCATCGTGAATAATGTTCAGTAAATACTCTCAAAAGATTCCAGAATCCTCACCAGCTTGCGTAAATTTCGTAATTCATAACGTAGTTCACACTCAGACGCCGAGGGAAGATCGTGTCATTTCGTTGTTTCCAATTTTTCACTAACCTTGCAGTTTGCATTCGAAAAATACCATCTTTCGCGTCAACATTGCCAAGAAAATGCTGTAGTAAATAAAAATATGTTATCAATAGGAAAACATGCATTAAAACGCGGAGAAACATGAAGATATACAGCCTCCTTCGATCTCAACACAGCCAGTGCAGACACAGCTCGGCGTCACTTCCGCTGTGACGTCAGATTCATTCGTATTCAATCGTAGCTGCTCGGCTATTTCCGAAATCCTCTTCGGGTCTTGATCTCCGATACGGAAAAAGACGAGTTTGATCCGACCGCCCCTGCATTGTGTAAAAGGAATATTGGGGTTTCATTTGTAACATACTTTGGACAGTGGTATCCAATATTTTATTAAATGTTAATTAATAGATATACATAAAGACTTGTGACGAGATTACTTCAAAACACGTATGAATTAGTATTAATCCACAATATTAACGTACCTTTCTTTTGCAGCTTTACGTTGTACATCACAGGTATATAACTCTGTCTCTCTAATTGTTCACAAAACTGTTTGTTCGTTTCAATGTTGAATTTAGTTTTTTTTCCTGGTGAAGGAAGTTTATGTTCAGATGTAATAATTATTCTAAAAAAAATATCTTGATAGAGGAGTAAAAATAGTACTTAGTATATAATTTCACTGTCAGTTTAGAAACGCATTTTAGACACAGGTACTTGTGTAGAAATATTCAAAAATCATATACAATATTTTGATAATAAAAAGTAATAATGAAGGTGAATGGAGGACTCTTAATGTGTAGGAATCTATCTATTCCACGCATAAGTTAGACGTCCAAATATTTTCTTCTCTGATACGTTTTATTTCTTTCTCTCTCTCCACTTGGCAAAAAAGGGGGGTCCAATCCTCGGATCCCCCCTTCTGTATCCGCCAATGCCCACCATTCTAAAATATCGAAAAATTTGAAGCTACCAAACTCTTATCCGGAACTCCTACTACATTTGTAAAAGGATCTGCCTAGCTGCTTGAAATTTTGACGTCTATATTATGCTACACTATATACACACAGTTTCGGTGTAAATTGTCAAGAGCGCCTAGATCCTTAGATACTAGTATCTGACATTTGAAAATTTTGATTTTTGTTCGTTGTAAATATTTTTTTTAAATCTATAGTGATACTATGAAATATTTATTATGGTGTATCCTTATTTATTTGGAGTTTTGGACGAATGGCTGTGACGAGTGCAAAACACTCAGAATACACCAATCCATCATAAATAAAAAATTTCAATTACTTTCCGGTATCATCGCCAATCAAACCTCATGTCACTTATTTTCATGCATGACTTTAAATTAATTGCACAAATAAAAATGTAGTTTTTGTCAAGCGACCGCACACTCTCTTCTTTCTACCAGTATTTTACGTTTGTGCGTTCAGAAGAAAGATAGAACAAAAATTCGAAGTTGAAGAAGGAAAATTCAGATGTTGTTCGAAAATCAAGAAAAAAAAGATACCCGTTATTCGAGAGCTGTCGCATCACGACAACTCTGTATCAGGGCGAATAACTCTAAATCGGTAGATGAAGTACAGCTGCACTTTAATCTAGTTGAGCAAATAACATAGCAAGCATTGGCGGATCCAGAGGGGGGGGGGGGATGGGGGTTGGAACCCATCCTTTATTTTTTGCTAAGTGGAGAGAGAGAGAATAAAAAGTTTTCTGCGAATAAATATTTGTACGTCTTACTTACTTATTGAATAGATAGATTCTTACACATTTAGTTTCCTCCATTCACCTTCACTACTATTTTTTATATGAGAGAATGGTAGAATATATTCCGCTTTTTTAAAAAATATATATCTTATTTATGATATGATATTGTAACATGCGTGGTTTAATTTGATATTGGATTCCCTTGATCTTTGACTGTGTCGGCTATATACGTAACGGTTTTTATAAAATCCTATCTAAATCTGTCTAAGGAACTAACATGTAACTCTTTGTTATAAAGCACACGCGCACCCCACTACCCCCCCCCCCCCCCCCCCGATTTCTTCTTTTCAAATTCTTTAAGAAGTTTCTTTATAGATGATACAAATCCACTCAACTTTAAGGCTTCTTTTTGAAAGGTGCGGGTTTTTTTTTTTTTTTTTGGTGTTTTTTTAAAATTCGGACTGGGGAAAGTTTTTTTAAGATAATGACATTAAACAAAGATAGTATGGGGGGGGGGGGGGTTAGAGGGATACAACCCTGGAACCTCCCCTTTCTAAAATTGCTGGATCCGCCCCTGGCAAGGATGGTATATTCTGCTAAAACGCTATTTTACAATAGGTGTGATGTTTAAATATTTTTCTGTGTGGAATTCATGTTAAAAACTTTATTTTTTGCAGCGATGAATGAAATATTTGCAGAGTTCCTTAAAGCATTTCGTCGTTTGTAATACGCAAGTTGTTTATGTATATAAAGACTTTTATTTCACTTCCAAAAATTTTGCCTTTGTACATAACAAAGCCTATTTCATTCTTTAATTCAGATTCAGAATACATGTAATTTGAAATTATGAAATTGCCTTGGTGTTCAATAATATTTACACGGCAATTTTTTTCCAGGCTAAGCGGACAGCCTATCGATACATATTTCCAGTTATTGTACACTTTACTTCAAATGAAAACACCGCAGCCATGATACATAATGTCAGTGTCTTTTTTTTTAGAATTAATAAAGAAAAATGTTTCAAATTCAAGGTGTTGTGATAAAATATGCATGTAAGACCTTGTAACCCCTCCCCCACCCAATTCTCAATAAACGCCGATAACTCATTTTGGTTAGAAAATTCTTTTGTCAATTGGTCAATAACGACTATAGGACTATCAACATTAACTACTATTGTTATACCTTTAGAAATTTTTCCTATACAAATCTATTCGAAAAAATTCTTAACATTTCTAATGGTTTGCTGAGCGCACACAAATTGATGTTGGACCGCTGAGTGAGATGTTGGACCGGTCGATGAGGTGTTGAACCGCTTATGTCACAGAATGGGCAATGCTTAATCTCATTTTCATTCCTTGGTTATTGTATAGTAAAAAAATTGTATCTAGAAAGTATGGATAATCTTCATTTTTGTAAATATCGGTCATTGACCGGTTGCACGACTTTCATACCATTACCGGAAGTCAAAGTTGAGTCTGCTTTGCCTTAACAGAAAATAAAAAAAATGCATGTTTAACAAAACATTTGACAATATAATGGAGTTTCGTTTGTTGCAGATACAAAAAAAATCTGAATAAGATACTTAAATTGTTAGGGGAAAAAAAGACTGAGCATCATATGACAACTTTCGTTAGCCCTATAGCATTCCTAGTGAAATGATAAACACATGATCATCATTCTATATTTTATGACATACGGTACATTAATAGAACAGTTTTGAAGTGCCATGCTCATACTTATTACGTGTATTAATATTGCTACAGGTGTATATTGGAGTAAAATTCCTGAGGATTTTTCTCTAGTACATGTCTTTGAACATTTAATCAAAATTGTTCTCAAAAGATGTAAATAGTTATACCGAGTTTAATACTGTATCATTCGAACCATCGGACGTATCCCTCCCTATTCTTACTCCAAAACTAGTGAAAGACCACAAAATATTGATGGATAGATATTGGTACTGATTGCTAAACTATAGAAAATAAATGCTAAGATTGTCCAATTAATCTATATTGGTGGTCAAACAGTGGAGAAATAAAATATGTTTAAGGGGGGACCTATGTCGTTCTACGTCAAAGCAGCATTATGTGACGTCACAATAGCGATGTTTGTTTTTTCCCGCTGACTTTTGCAACTGTGATTATAGGCATAACATTGTTATTAATCAATAACGTATACAGTTTACAAAAAGAATTTTTTTTTTCATCATTTATAACAGTTTTATTTGATTTATGGAGTTCGTTAGTATTAGAATTCTCTTCATTTGGTTGATAATCCATAGCAATTTCAGTTGTGAAGAAATACCTCCATGATATGCTGATATAAAAATGCAAAAAATATAAGATAAAATTCAGCAAAGACAGCGGCTGAAATCAAGGAAATATGTTTAAGTTTATAATTACCATTAATTGTATTTTCTAGACAAAACTAAGAAAAAATTAAGA